TGTGTAGCGTTCTAAACGCAGAATTTCAGGAGCAGTCCATGGCAATGTAATCACTAGTGTACTATTGGCTCTTATTGGGCGTGTTGTTTCATTGCGTATCCAAGCTACACCAAAGTCACACACTTTCACACGATATCCTTCGTAGATTCTTTCTAACAGGAAGTTCAATGATTTTATGTCTCGATGCAGGATGGGCTCTGGTAATCGATGCAAGTAGTTAACTCCCTTGGCTGCTTGCAAAGCAATCGATGATCGCTCAGTCCATTTTAATTCAAGCTTATCCACGTGTAGTATCTTATATAACGATCCAAGAGGCATGTATTCCATCACTAATGCGTACCTTTCTTCTTCCATACATGCACCCAAGAAACTGACGATGTGTGGACTACGAAGATTATGCAGCAATCGAAGCTCTTTTAAAAACGCATTTCTGACATCATCGGTCAAATTGGCAAGGTGTAGTTTTTTGACAGCAACCGTATCATGTGTGCTCAACCACGTAGCTCTGTAAACCCTTCCAAAGGCTCCTCTGCCAATCTCTTCATGAAGCTCGAGATCCCTTTCAGGTATTTCTATCAAGTTATGCAACGTGTCTAAATTGCAAAAGTAAATATTATTATACGGCGTGACAATTATGCTCTTGTTTTTGTACAATAGATGTCTTCTCAGTTCTTCAAAAGTTTCTTGTCGGACCATTTATCGAATCTCATTAGATCATGCTGTGTATTGAACACATGTACAAATGCGGCAAAGATACTACAAGAGCCATTATTCTAAACACTACGAACTAGACTAAATACATTCCAAAGAATTTTCCCACGATTTGTTCAATACTAGTTTAATAACACAGAAACTGTATGTGGTGGATTCGGGAGATTGCTCAAGATCCGTTTTATTTCTCGAGATCAGTGTAACTTGTTGGTTGAACTAATAAATTCATATAGATATAAATGGTAGTGTGTCATGAGATCTTTTGAGAACGGCTCATTGGTGTACTGTAATCATAACTGTTAAGAAAAACAAATAGCAAAAGAAAAACTTTGCGAATTCATCCGGCACTTCTTAGCTAATTCTTTACTTTATTATGTATCCATCTTAATGACTCGTATCTGTAAAAGTGCATGGTCTTTTCGAGCAGACAAGAGGACCTTTCAACTAAATGTTGTAGAACCAGAGGTGAAAAGCTTAGTCTCGAGCGGTGTCTACTGATCGTGACAATCTTCTTCAGAAGTTTCTTGTTGTGTTTAACAGGTACAAAAAACATGGGATAATAACTCATCTGTTCAGTCAAATCGATATCCAATAGATTTGAATCATGAACAAAGATCTCTCAAGCTATGCTATCACTTTAGATCACTTGGTACTGTGCACTCCGCGATATTGATGATCACCGAAAACGTTCAAGGTTTTGCTCAAACGGATTGTTCGATCATTTCGGTGCTCAAATATTTTGTTATGGTTTGCACTTTATTCGTCGAGACGCGTAGATGTCAAATATAAATAGTGCGTTAAGAACTATTTGACAAATGAAAGCCATGCTTTTTGCTACAAATTTTTGCCATATTATCTCATTTTTTTTTGAGGACTAGAAATTGAAGTAACAGATAAGTGTGCATATCGCGTGTACCAGATGCGCTCGTGAAGGAAGTGTTGCGAAATATGAAATTACTGCAAAAAGTCATGTTACAAAGTTCATCGTTGAAGAAATCAACTGGAAACGGACATTTCTTTCGTATTTTATTTTAGTTGTTCTGTGCAAGCTGCAAACATTTCTTTTTTGCTCTTCTAATACAGAAATGTGATGCCTTGTATTTTCTCGAAGCTAAAAAATGACTGAAATATACCAGCCATGTATGATACTCCAGACTTCAAGGCAACTGAATAATATACTCAATAAGTCAAATAAAATGAAACCTCACATTCATTACTTACATCGTGATTGACCATACAAACATATATTTGGCTCTAGTAATCCATCATTTAAAAAAGGAATCTGGTTAGAATTTGACTCTTTCACCACTGCGATTCTAACATTACGCAGTACCAGTACGATGTCTTCATTTGGAGTTGTAATGTGCTGCAAAAGATGCTTTGTAAAAAGACCATTCCGTTCCCCATGCCTTTCAGCGGCTGTAGTTCCCGGAGCACAAGCAAAAGCGATCAGTGAACCCGCCTTGTGCATTGGCTTAAAGTCATCTGATTCGGAATGACTCGAATTCGGGTTTCGTTCATATAAACTTAGATTGCGCAGGTGATATGTCCTACAGCAATCCAGTAGAAAGATTGTTACAAATGGATCGCGGTCAGCTAAATCATTAAGAATGTCTTGCGCTTTAATGGCACTTCTGTTCAAATTTGTACCAGGCGCCTCGGGAATATCTTTTGGCAACAAATAATTTTGATCCTAACAACCAATCACAAATCAAACAGGCTTAGCATTCAAAATTTAGAGACGTACCTCCCATTGTGTTCCATGGCCGGCGAAGTAAAATAGAATCATATCGCGTGGCTGAATTGAATTCTCAAAATCCACCAGAGCATGCTGCATCTCAGCACGTGTTAGATGCAATTTCATGGTAACAGTGAAACCAATGCTTTCCAGCGCAGATTTCATGTCTTCGGCGTCATTTTTTGGATTAGACAATCGGTTGATGTCTTCATATTCGCCAATGCCTATCACAAGGGCTAACTTGCGCTGCCTTTTAGTTGAAGTACCGCTTGCCTCCGTAGCCATTGTCGAAGGCAAATTAAATCTGAAACAACCTAACTGTCTTGAGAAGAAATCTTTAGATAGGCAAAACACAATGAGCGACCCAACACACCATAGTTAAAAAGCTTTGAACATCTAAATAGACTATGATCTATCGCCTATTCTCTTATCATGAACTTGTCATTCGATTCATCCACTGTTGTGGTGATGTGTTCGAGAGTTAGGCTGAGTTATACAAATAATGAAGACAGGAGTAGAGGAATTCTCATTCAGAGTACACTGCCCATCGAACCCAAGTTTTACTAGCTAGAGATCGGTTGTCCAACGAAGATAGAACAGTCGAACGATGTCGACCACAAATCGGTCTAAATGCTATTGTTCAAAATCGATCGAAGCTTTGACTGTACAGTTTCTTACTGAGGATAGTGTCTCTCAAACTGTACTATCATTTCGAAGTTCTCTTGGGTTCTCCCATGTTTCCCCAACATAGCATATTTACTAAATATATTACAGCACTAGAGACGTGGACGATTCGATCGATTGCAGTTAATTCAACCGCAATAGAACATTCTGTTTTCCTTGAATGATCATCTAGTTTGTTAAGAGAATCGCTTCGTCAATGAAACCCGTTAGCGAAGTTACTGCAGTATTAAAACGTGAAACACTATGTGACTATTGCTGCTAATTTCACGAAAAATTGTTTTATTCGAACTATTTTCAGACAAATTTCTTTATCATAATTTATTTAATCCTCCAGAACTACAATGAGGAAGTAGTTCATATATTTTAAGGAGATTGTCGTCATATGCAGTCTTTAGTGATATCATAAAAACGTGTGTGAATGACAGTGATGGTTTATGGGAGCTATCTGTGACCGTAGAGATGAGGGCCCAAAGGCGACTATAAGGTGTTGATCCCGAAACGGGATATATGTAAGTTTGCAGAGAAAAGTCCCTCCATCCAGTGGTAGAATTATTCTGAAATTCTGTTGCATACCGTGACACAAATCCATACATCTAATGTTGACTGTTTGTCTGTTATAGGGTCGAAGGTCACAGATCAAAGGTCAGGGAGTGGTGGGCGTAGGTCTGGGTGTTATTTGATGATCTCAAATACAACCCCAAACTCACCCATCTGCATCCACCCACATGCACCCTCGTCGTCCCGCATCTTGACCTTTCACTTTGGACCCGGTAACAGACAGTCAATAATAGGTGTATGGATTTTCTGACACGGTACGCAACAGAATTCGATACTATATACACCACTGTATTTATTAATCTGCATCTACTATATATAAGGGGAAAGCGCGGCACGCACTACATCTTATAGTGTATTTACGTTGAATAACAAATGCGGTTTAATGTATAAAGTGACGCGATTTTCATGACATGGATGATCGATATAAAATGGCACAGTTAAAATATTCAAGTGAACATTCGTGACCGATAAGGCATATTCAAAATCTAGAAAGAAATATGTATTGAAAAACATATTGGTACCAGTATATAGAGTGTCCCAAAAGTCACTTTACATTAGAAAAGCTTGGATTTCTCCACCTCGTTTTGATCAAATGTACTGATTTTTTTTACCGCTGGTAATGGGGTACCCGCAGTTCATACTTATAATAGAAACGTTGGAAATTACTACTTTGAAATGTAGGATGTTCCATAAGTCATTTCACACATTAAAGATTTCTCTTCTTTTCGTCCAAGAAACAAATGAAAAATCACACACGAACAACCATAAGGCACCAAATAGCTCTCTCTCTTTCATATATTCAAGTGCAGATGATATTTCTTTATCATCAAGAAAGTTGCAGTGAAAGGAGATAGAAGCAGAAAAACCAGAGTAAGAAATAAAGAAAAGAAACAGCACATGCCATGAAAGACAGACGAGCAGAACCAACAAGACAGGGTAGGTGGGTGAGAGTGAGCGTAATACACCTCTTTCCAGTCTCATCCCCACACCCATCCTCAAGGCGGTGGATTCACATTCTCTCAACAATTGAATCAAAGGTTATTTCTCGATCTAAAACAAGGTTTGTCTATCAATATATTAGTGATAATGCAACCGTCAGTGTCACTCACTCATCCTCAGAAAGAATGATTAGTAGTGTTCATTGTCTTTTGAATGAATAAAAACTAACTAGAAAGTTTCTGATCAGTTTCTTTAAAGGAAAAGAAGATCAGGGCCAAGGAAAAGGATTTATATTGTTAATTAATAGAAAAAAAGCAGGTTTTAGAACTAAAAGTAAATCAAAACTGTTGAGTCACAGTTGTCATTGTGGTTAATTTTGAAATATATGTTGTTTTTCTTGTCGCATTCGTTCTTTAAACTCACCAAAGTCCATATCAGATTTCGGATCAAAATGACCAATCGAGCGTTCATCATTAGCTAGATAATCAAAATATTCATAATGTAATCGATCATCTCTTCCATACATATAGCATTGAATAGTAATACAAGGTTTGCCATATGAATCAACATGCTTCAATTGGTGCGTTTGATTTAGATTTGGTAACATCCATGTGACTCTTCCTTCATGACAAATTTGTTCAATAGGTTTATATTGGTTGACATTTAATGTTAATGCTGGATAGAGTCTCATCAAAATTTCACCGGAAAGTGCTCGAATAATCGCATACGTATTACTGTGATTATGTATAGGACTAAAATGCCCAGGAGGCCAAACCTCGATAACATAATTGTGGCCTGGTGCATTTCCTTGTCGATCACCGACAGTAAGACGTAAATAAGTTGCTTTTGGATTTCGTTTACCGAAACGATTTGCTTTCTCCTGTAATTTCTTGTTACACCAACCTTTCGAATTTTTTATACTACGCTCAATGACATCCGTTAAATCTGGAAAATCATCCGTGTTCAATTTGAAATTAATAACAGTATCATATAATTCACGGCATGTTATTTGTAACTTTGATGGTGGAATAGCAGAATGAGAAGCAAAATGTTCAACACTATATTTGTCTTGTGGAATAACAAATAATGGCAATTCGTGTAAAACAGGATCTATTCCAGTGAAAATACGAAAGTGTTCTTTTAAATTACTTAATTCAGTCAACATGTTCTCGTTGTTATTCACTTTAAAATGCAAATAATAGATTTCTTTAATAGATTGTGATTCCTCTGTTGGAAGATCAATATCGAAAATAGAAAAGGATGGACGAACTTCTCCAAAACCATATTTAACATTGCGATTAATTGCAAATAGACTAATCCAATATCGATGCCAATATTCATCTTCCGATTGAAGTGTATAAAGGGAGTCAGTTGACGTATGCGATTGTCCAGTGCTTGTACTTAATTTAACTTCATTCTTATTTACTGAAAGTATGATTGAATAGGCAGTTAAATCATGAGGATCTCTTTTATTCGATAATCGTAATTCGAAAGGTATCGATTTTCGTTGCATCATTTCCACAGTACCTTGACCTGAAATTTCAAGGGTATTCGAACAGCTACCTGATTTCCATGGACACCAAAACTTGTCTGGTTGTCCAAACCGCTCAACGTCATTTTCGAGTGAAGGACGATCATTTTTTGGTGGTGTAGCTGCAATATCGACTAGAAGCAAAGACAATGAAATCAAATTTGTCATATAAATAAGAAAATCCTGGCTCATTTTAACAAGCTTTTGATCGGTGGGTCTCTCTATCCCTTTCATGGTGTCAAGAAATGGAAATTTTATTCGATAATTTGAAATAACCGATCAAGGCAACTTCTCTCCGCACAATCGTCCGAGGACTGAATGAGCATTGAAGAAGATTTAATTCAAAATAAAGTTATATTATGAAACAATTATTTCCCTTGCATAGTTTCAGAGAATGAAAATCATCTTCCAGATTCGCTTTTATGTTACAGTTCCCGATCAGTTGATCAAATTGTAGGTTCTGTATGTTGCTTGAAAGACTGTTCTGGTAAGCTCAGTTCACATAATAACCGTCGATTCTTTGGGCTTTTTTTCGATCAATGCCACCTGTTACTACGCTATTGACATCGCCATTGTCCTAATGGTGTGAATAATGCCTCGAAATAGAAGATTCGCCGCTGCTAGTGATGTCTCAAATTTCTCGAATTTTTCATGGAAATATGCATGACAGTAGAACACTATTTTCATATCTTCACTGAGTTTTTATATACTTCGTCGATGATTCTGGAAGGCTTTTCTGAACAATACCACCCTCAAAGACGAAATCTCTATATTCACCTTACTCACTCATTTCTGCTTAAAATCAAGTTAATTATCACTCCTTACGTATGTGGATATTGCTCTTTAACTGAGAAGGGAGTATCCAAACTGACCTGCTGCCGGTCGAGAGGGTGTTGTTGTTGCTCGTGCATTTGCCGTTGCATTCGTCGGTGCAATCTCCGGTGCATTCGCTGGTATTCCAGTTGGTCTTGTTTTCACCACTTCAAATATTAGCTTCGTCCATGTAAAGTCTTCACCTTGATGTTCGTTGAACCGATGATAGGCATCATCAGCTTGCTTCCAATCACTTGAACATGACCTTGGAGAAGCATTTTTGAATTTTTGCACTCCATCGTATCTCCACCAACAATTATTGAAGCCACATGTCACTGGAGTGACATATTCCTTACATGTGGGACATTTAGTTGTCTTATCGATTGAATCGCCTAACATATCCAGTTTCTTGTAACCAACGGGCATAATAACTGTGCGATTAAAAGCTTCACATTTATTGTTTGTACACGGACCTTCAAGGCATAGACCATGTCGAGCTCGTCGCCATCGTGAAGCTGTTCTAGACCATCCGATTCGCTTCAAAGTTTGGTCATCGCTGACATCAACAAATTTTAACCCAATCAAACCACCAAAAGTACGGTAACTGTCTGCACGATCGACTAATTCTAGTACAGAATCTGCTTTTACATCGTAATCTTCCAATGTGGCTTCATCATATAGTATTTCTCGATCAAAGACAAGCCATAGTATTTCCAGGTCACGATAACCAGCTTTTTTGCCCACGCATTTCTTCAGCTCTCCAATGATCATAGAAGGGTCGACGTCAAAATCGTACACGCGACCATGCCCAGTAGAAGTTTTGATCAAAATCTTCATGCTGATGCTGCTAATGAAACAAAAACGATTTAATAATGTGCAACAGTCTTATTGTCAATTGAGCGTCATCGTTAGTAACTATCTCGCAAACATTCTTGTTCACGTGTTTTCAGACAAAAAAAATCGGATTAAAGGAAGTCCAATGAATGTGAAGGTTCACGATCCTGTAAATTGCTATAGTCTACGATCAAGCGATCTACTGCTTTTGTTCACGATTCAACATGGTATGAGAAAACCATTTACAAGAGTGATAAGATTTACCATAGCAAAGCACTTTATCAGAGACGTGAACTTCATCAAATCTTTTTTGAGGTGTGGAGTAACAGTAGATCAGAGTCTCCTCTTCACCCACATCCTCACCAATCTAGGATAAAGCTAAACAATGGCACATACGAGACCACTTTTCGATTAGTAAGCTGTTTTTTGTGGTCTGAACATGTTTTCAGTTCATAGTTTGAACCTTTTCGTTAATTCTAAGATGATTGACAATTATTATGTTGACCTATTAAGTGAAAATATGTTGCGAAAAGTATATTAAACTAGAGCAATGAAGCAGAGTTTTCAAGAAATTAAAAAGAAAATGTTTCATATGCGATATCATTACTCGTTTAATGCGTATCAAAAGCATTAGAATGAAATATATTTTTGGAATAAAATGGCCTCTTTTAAAGAATACTGAAAGCAAAATTTTGATTAACTATGAATTGAATCAAGACTAACTTATCGGAAAAAGAATAAAAACACTGAAATTACACTTCTTTAAGGGTAAGCTCAACAATAATTACTTATCATTTAACGAAAAAATGATAATGCTTGTACCTGATTGAGCTGGCTACTTATGTGTTCTGCTTTTGAGACGTTTAAAGATAGATGTGAAATCTGACTTTATGTTTATTTGATACAAGATGTTTTGCTCTACAAAACTGTCATTTTGTTTTTTTCCAATGAAGCTTTCTCGTTTGCATAAAATTTAGACAATTGGCAGCTTCTCAACTGTTAACTGCAACGAGCAAAAATGATGAAGATGGTAACAATTTTTCATAAAAATGCAGCTAAAATTTCGGTTATATTACAACATCTGCTTAGATTTCTGTGTCCCTTAATGCATATTTCAGAGTTGAAGAAAAGATTTATGAAAAATAGATGTAATTAAGAACTGTGAAAACCTGAAAATCTCATTTCTTCCAAACTTTTGTTTTTGCGACTGACTTTTGATACGGATGGCCTGACAATTTTAAATGTTGAAAACAAAAGTTAGACCAATTTGTTCAGAAGTAATGCCACTTTTGATCTTAAGACAATCAATACTTCAGAAATAAATTTAATTGAAAAGAGTAATCTTCCAGAATGCATTCAAAAAGATGAACAGATGTGAATACTATACCTATTTTTATGAAATCGTAGGTGTAAAAACATTGAACTTTTAATAGAAACATAAATCAGAAAATTCTCTCTATTGATGAAAAATACCTGATGAGCATAACCCTGCATAAATCAATAAAAATCTACAGAAAAATACCAGATCACAGTGAGAAGATTGAGAAACTATTAACCATTTAAATTTCTGTAAACAAGAGAATTTTGGTCAGCTCAAAGCTAGGTTTAAAATTGTTTTTTAATACCTCAAAAGCTGAGTGCGAAAAACTGCATCAGTCTGATTCATCTATGACATTATTTATTTATAAAAAGATTCTTGATAGAAACAGTCTAAGACTAATATCTTCACTGAACTATGGGTGTGGGTGTGGGTGGATGTCGGGGTGGGTGTGTTGGGTATGGACGTGTGGATATGGGTGTGGTTGGATGTGGATGTAGTTTTAAGTTATCTACCCACACTCACACATCCACGCCCACACTCACCCACATCCACACCCACACCCGCACTCACACCCGCACCATCCACACCCGCACCCACACCAGCTACACCCACATCCACACCCACACCCACCCCGCACCGACACCCATACCCTTCACTAAGAACACACCTATGACGTCTTGCATTAGCATTCCTCTTCCACTCTTGTGCCCCATCAAAAATCGAGTTTCTATGTCATGAGCCCTTTTAGGGTTTTTTTTTTGTCGATAGTTCTTTCAATCACAGCCTTTTGCAAGACAATATGCAGATAAGGAGAAAAAGACCATTTCGGATCACACCGAGACTGTTGTCTTATTCTGAATACGTTGGCAAGCATGGAAAAGTAGATACGTCCGAACACAAGACCACAAACGAATGTTCATATGTCAATTGGGTTTTCTTTTTCAATTCTTCGATAAAGGTGTGGGTGTGGGTAACCGTGATGACTCATATCCACACCCCAACGCACACCCACACCCACACCCTATAGTAATAAGGGCAGAGAAAATGGAATTATTGACATCTTTTATGAATCATAGAGTTACTTATTTTTTTATTAGTACTTTTGTTACGGTGGGATTCCACCAGAATTCAGCATGGTTCCGCTCGAACTATCGTCAGATCCTAGAGATTATTCGTTTATTCGAGAATCGATTCAACCTCATTTCTGAGTGTTCTTGAACACTAAAAGTTAGTGGAAAATGAAATGTCAGGTAGGAGTATTCGAAGCCAGAAATATTGTTTTCATGTTCCTGTATTTGATCCCGCGGATTTTGGTGGAACGAAGCAAGAGTCTCTAGGAACACGTTGGAAAAGTCTTTTCCTGTGACTTTGCACCATATCCAGAATTTGAAATCTAGCACTGGGTGAAAATTACCGGAAAGATTATTATCTCTTTTGAAAGAAATTTTAGTATCTGTTTTTCCTAGTAATTTTCGAAATCTTGAGTGGAGAAATTCCAAATGGTGGGATATCTTCTCTCATGCGGCCTTCAACAAAATTCAAAGTACCTGGTACTGCTCAGTAGGAATCAGATACCGAGGTCTTTGGAAAACAATTAGCGAATCGTGCTGATAGTAGAAGCATGAATATATCTCACTTCATATGGAGCCTAGCAAATACTGACAGATCCCAGAGTTTACAAATTGGTGTCCACTAAAGCTATTGCTTTCCCTTAGTTTTCATTGAAAACTTTGTTGAGATTAAGTCTTGAGATGTGTACAAGTAAATAGTTGTATTGATCGATATCGAAACTCACCGATCGAATGTTTGTTGTTAGCTGTTAAATAATTGTACGATAGACTTGGTAGCTCGTGTCGTTCGCCGCGTGCAAAGAAAATAATAAATGGCAAAATGAAACAATATTATCTGAAAAAGAGCAAACAAGAACAAAAAGATTAAGTGTTAGATCCAGCGTAACGCTTTTAAAAGTAGCATTAAAATGAAAACATAAGAGTTACCAAAACACTACTAATGCAATTCCACGAATCTTTGCTCGTCTTATCAAAAAAGGAACCTACGCTGTGTTTCACCATAGTTCGTAAGAAGAAGCAAAAGAAGAAAAGAACTTTGTATGTGGATGTGTATTCAAGGAGAACTAAATAGTATCCTACACTGACGATCATCAAGCTCGGTATATTGCCATCTATAGACAAATGTTTGC